GTGTGGTGGCACATGTCTGATGCCTGCACGCTGGGGTGGGGAGGAGGCACCAGGATCAGAAGTTTGAGCCCAGCGTGGGCAATTTAAGCACTCAAGGTTGTGGCTAAGTATTGACTCATGTCATGTCCACCCCACTGCTGTGGGAATGGAGTGGGGTGCTGGAAGGAGGCAGCTAGCTGGGCCTCTGCCGCTAGCCCCTATACCTGGCAGAGACCCAGGGAGGGCAGGAAGGCTATTTTCATGTACCGATTCATGTTTTTATCATATTTTTTTGACATGTAAGAGCTAGCTTCTCTCCACCCAGCCTTCCCTGAATCTCCAGTGTGGGCTAGGTAAATTAGATGTATGTGTGTATTTCAGGGTATGGCACGCTATTTCTCTGCTTTCTGGTTGGCAGCTCTGCTGAACTCATAAACAAAAATTGTATTTTCCAGAGTTTGGTGATTGAGTAAGGGATTGTGTAACCAGGAAGAAATGAGAAAAGCAAAGAACATATCTGTGCTGAAGAAGCAGCTAAAAGCACCTGTCCTCCTGTGGCCTGAATGAGGGTCTCTGGCTAGGTGCTACCCCAGTCCTGTCCTTTCACCTTGCAGTCAGTTTTCTGATCTCTAGATCCTAAGCTTTCAGTTTGCCCTACATTTGGTGGAAACATAGCTACATGTTGGACTTTATCTTTGCCCATGAGGAAGAAGGGGCCCCCCTGCTTCCTAAGGTAGAAGGAAGGCAGGCAGGTGCCAGGCACTGCATAGAGTGGGTCCCCAGTGAGGGGGAGAAAGAATAAAAAGACCGTTCTTTAGCCCAGGCTGGCCTTGAACTTGAACTTGTGGCAGTGCTCTTGCCTCAGCCTCTCACATGCTGGGATTACAGGTGTGTACCACCATGCCCGGCTTTATGGTTGTTTTAGTAGTTGAACAGGAATTTACCACCTCTGACCGACATGGACTGTGAGATGGGAAAGTATGCATGGATCACTGTTCCCCGAAGGACGAGGGATGATGCCAGGCAGTCCTCAGTTAGGAAACACGTGACTATGCCCTGGGGATTGGGAGGCAAGCTCCCCAACATCTCCACACATTGCTACTGCTATTCCCGCCCCACAGACCACCCTGGAGGTAAGGAAGGAGTCTCGTAGCTTGTAACCTGGAGGTTAAGCAAGCTAAACCTCCATGCCCCAGACTATGGGATCCTGGATGCTGCATCTGGGTCCACATAGGTTCAGACTCCCAGGAGAGGCCCACCAAGTGGTAATGGTGCTGAGAATTCCCTCTGTACGTGGCTTTTTTTGGGTAAGAGCTGTCGGACCATCCTTCCAGATTTCAAGACAGACTAAAATGTCCAAACCTGATTCTGCCCAGGGAACCAAATAGACTTTATGAAAGAAAGACTCACTTCATTGCAAGACTTGGTCAGGAATGACCTGTGAGGCCAGGATAGCTCCGTGGGTGGCCCTGGTTTCCAGGCCAGGCTGGTGTGACAGGTACTTCCCTGCTCCCTGGCACAAATCCTTGCCATTTTTGAGCAGTTCTGTGTCCTCTCAGGGAATGTGTCTCTGCCATTGAGTTGCAGGAGCTGGTCTGGGAACCTTGTTATTAGACAAAGCCAGGGAGGAGAAATGTGTGGTTGAGGACTGTGGGAGGGGGACCCCCACCCCCAGCAGGCCCTGGTGATTCCAGGGGGGCTTTCTGGTGGTGTAGGACAGACTTACCTATCAGTTAAATTTCCTGGGTGCCCAGTGGATGTTTCTGTCATTCCTAGCAGGGCTCAGCATTCCTGTCTGTCAATAAGAAGTAATGTGGTTTTGGGTCCATTAGTCAAATCTATGAATTCTTAATGTCTTACCTAGGAAGTTGACCTCACAACTGTGGGCTGGTTAGGATGTAGCAATTTTAGAAGTTAGTTAAAGTCTCAGAAGCAGGAAAAAGTTCTTATCCTGTGCTGGAATGGCTGCTTATCTGAGCTCTGGAAATGTACATAAAGGGATTAATTGTTAGGACTTATTAGCATAATAAAACACATCATTGGTGAACCACGTAGCTGAGTCAAATCAGACCAGCACTTCATAGTAATTTTCAGAAGAGAAATGGGAAAAGACCAATAGTTACTGTAGCACTTTAGTATTAAATTAACATTAAAGACATTTTTCTTTTATATCTGAAAAAGGATTTTAAGTTTAAACCATGTATTGTTTAATGGTTTAGCCAGGCTTGGTGGTGCAGGCCTATGATCCCAGCACTCTGGGAGGCTGAGGCGGGAAGATCACAGGTTTGAGCCCAGCCTGGGCAACTTAATGACTTAGGGAGACCTTGTTTCAAAAATTAAAAGGTAAAAAAGAGCTGAAGATATAGTTCATTGAGAAGGCCCTGGGTTCAGTCTCCAGGAAAAAAAATATAGTTCTCACTTCAGGATCTATTCTAGCTCAAATTCTGAGTATCTGTACAGTTTGTTTGAACTTGGGGGAAATATCCATGTGAGACAGGGAAAACTAGATGGGGAACTACATGGGGGACAAATAATGGGACCTGTTGTGGGAGGGGCGCAAGAATGAAAAGTTTGTAGAACTGTAACTCAAGTCTGGCCTGCTAGTCCAGAAGTGCTGATACAGGGACCCCTGAGAAGGGTGGGCCACTGATAACCCGCCTTTCCTCCCTGGGGTCTGGGCCATGGGTGTGGTGCAGGCATGGGGAGAGGAGGCTAGGTGTGTGCAGCACGGCCCTCCTGGCCCCTCCCAAGGAGTAGCCAAGCAATGGGTAGATAAGCCTCAGCCAGGAATGCGGTCCTAACTCAGATTCCAGAGCTTCTGTCTAGCTGGGTGGGGAGAAAACCTAGGTGTAAATGAAACTATTTTTTTCCTGATCTTAAACTTTATAACATAGAACATTGTAATCCATGTACCCCAGAAAATGCTGAACTAGGTAGAGAGAATAGAAGCAGATAATTCACTGAAGAAGAAATCCAAATGATCAATACGATGTGAAAAAGTGTTTACCTTCACTAATAGTAAAGCCTGCGCATTGAGAGAATGGGATACTTGCTTTTGCAGTTGTTAAAAATAATGCTTTTTATCTAAATAAATAAAAACTGGATTAAATCCAGTTTAAAAATGAGCAAGGGATCTGATTTGATATTTTCCCAGAGAAAATCTACAGCAGAGGTCAGTAAGCCCATGGAAAGAGTTTTACCACCTACCCCGCCAGATTCCACAGACAAAGACCAAGGGACCAATGTGGGACAGAAATTCTTACCTGTGGCAGCTCAGGGTCTGGGTCCTAAGCCATAGCCTTGGAAACAAGTAGAGGGATTTTTTTTTTAAATGGTGCTGGGGATTGAATACACGCTTATTAAGTGCTGCACTGCCGAGCTACACCTCCAGCCTACACCAATGAAAAGATGTTCAGCGTCATTAATCATCAAGGAAATGCAGTTCGGAATTCCAGTGAGCTACCATATACACTAGAATAGCTATAATAATAATAATAGAAAAAGGTGGGACTAGGGGTGTAGCTCACGTGGTAGAGCACTTGTGTAGCACACGTAAGACTCAATACACACTACTGCACGCACAACACAGAAAACTTGCGTTTGAGGAACACCTCTTCTTTTTCTTTTTGGTGTCGCTAGGGGTTGAATTCAGGCATTTTTCGTACTGAGCTACATTCCCAACTGTTTTTCATTTTTTAATTTTGAGACGGGCTTGCTAAGTCACTAACCTGCCCAGGCTGAGCTCAACCTTGCAGTTCTCCTGCCTCTTTCACCCAGAGCACCCAGCTAAGGAACACTTTGTGCTAGAGGAGAACCTCAGCATGGAGTACTAAGTGACAAAACACGGCGGGCTGTGTGTGCCGCTGTGCAGGAAAGAGCTTGCACAGCAGGCCTGAGGCTGCTTCCAAGGTTGGCCCTAGCTGCCTTCCGGGAACCCGTCCCCTGGAGTCTTCCCTCAATTCCCCAGCTTGTAAGAGTGGTCCACTGTGCCTAGACTGGTGGTGCAAACGTCATGGTTTGTGATGAATCCCTGCTGGGAGCTGGAACTTTGGTACTTGCTAGACAGAGCGTGCTTATATGGGGTCAGCACCCACTGCAAGTTCTGAGTGTTCTCTTAATAAGCTAATATGGGCAGAGATATTGAATACGAGTTGCAGCATTTCATAGAATTTTATTTATTTATTTGGTACTGAGAATTGAACCTAGGGCCTTGGTGCTGAGCTATATTCCCAGCCCTTCTTTTATTTATTTATGTTTTGGTTTTTTGAGACTGGGTCTTACTATGTAATCCAGGCTAGTCTTGAACTCACTAAATAACCCAGGTTGGCCTCCAACTCATAGTGATGCTTCTGCCTCAGCTTCCTCAGTACTGGGATTAGTTTTTTTTAAATAAAAAAAAATTTTTTTTTACAGGGTCTCTCTAAGTTGCTAAGTTGCCCAGGCTGAGCTCAAACTTAAAATCCTTCTGCCTCTGTCTCTCCCTTACATATATATGCCACCATGCCCAGCTGGGGTTGCTAGATTTTTGGTGCTGGGAAAAGAGGGTGCTTGCTCCTTGGGACCCAGCATGGGTGGGAGACTGAAGCCAGCCTGCAGTCGATGCTTTTAGCTTCTGCACTTCCTTATGATCCAGTTACATACGCATCCTTATTGAGCCACTATGATGAATCATGGTCGTGAGTACAGCTGTATGCCCCATCCTGTGAAACTTTCTAAGAAATCTCTCCACGTCCGGGTGGTCTTGGGGATTCCTGACACAGCCCAGGGCGTGGAGAATAGCAACATGCATTTAATATAGACTGGAAAGAGAAAGACCAATTCACAGTGGCTGTTTTGGAGTTGTATTATTACGAATAACTTATTTTCTTTATTGTTTTCAGTATTTTATCCATTTTCTATATTGACATTTGCTTTTATTTTCAGAAGAGACTGTCTTTTTGTTAAACATCTGTTCTGTTAAACATTGTTGTCATCTTCAGAATGGTTTACCTCTAAAGGAGCATCTCTTCCTTTCCTCTTAGGGATGTAATCCCCTTGCACAGACCGGCCGGAGCAAACTACAGAACCAGAGGGCTGCTTTGAATCAGCAGATCCTAAAGGCCGTGCGGATGAGGACAGGAGCAGAAAACCTTCTGAAGTAGGTGTCTTGGGGTTCCCTGCCTCAGCCAGCCGTGCAGCTTTCCCCACGCTCCCGACCCTGCCCTCTGCTTTCAGCTTCAGCTTTCTCTTCATTGCGGTCTCCTGGGCTGGGTCCTTTCTACCTGGAATGTGGTTGTGTTAAAGACATTTTGCCCATCCTGCTTGTGTGTTTGGGGAGGGGCATGGACATCAGGGTACCTGGTGTCAGTTGCACGAACTGGCTCCTCTCGAAGTCCAGTGAGTGTCTTCTTGGTGTCTGGCCTCTCCACTTTTCGTGGAACGTGACAGTTTCTCCACTGTCTGGCACGATGCCTGGTGTAGAATCACTGCTTGGTAAAGGTGTGCTGAATGTATAAGGAAAAAGAGGGCAGAAAGGAGCGACTAGGATATTTCTACTGCCAGTGTCCATCTTTTTAGTTATTTATTTATTTATTTTTTGGTACTGGGAATCAAACTCAGGACCTTGTACTTGCCAGGCAGGCGCTTATGCCACTGAGATATATCCCCAGCCCACCATTTTAATGAAAGGGATATTAATTTTTTTTTTTTGAGGCAGGGTCTCACTATATAGTTCAGGCCGACCACGAACTCTCGTTGTAGTGCAGGCTGACCTTGAACCTGCGGTGATCCTCCTGCCTCAGCCTCCTGAGTGCTGGGATTACAGGCCAGTGCTGGGATTACAGACATGTACCACCATGTCTGGCTTTTTTTTTTTTTTTTCCTAGTCATTGTGTTTTGATACAGGGTCTCTCTATGTAGCCCAGGGTGGCTTTGAACTCAGGGCAATCCTCTCAGCCTCACAGACTTAGCAAGGGGTACTCATTCTGCTCATTGGAAACTATAATTCTCTTGGACGGTCCTCAGATTCTCAGAAATGTGGGGGTAGGAGACGGGGAGACGAGTACTCAAAATGTGGACACAGTTTTGGATAGTCGGTTCTCAGTGGGTTGCCTTCAGTGTTGGAGCCCTTGGGAAGCACAAAGGCCCCTGGAGAGGCTGCTGGGAAACACAAACACACCAACTAAATGTTTGTAGAAGAGCTCCCAGCCTTGTGGGTCCCCTGCACTGCCTCCTGAGCACTCGGCAGAATAGGAAGAGGGTTTCTGAACTTGATCTTGGGGTAAATTAATTGTTGAATTGGGGTGAAAGATTGATGAGATATTAAATGGGGAAAAGAAAGGTGTAGGACAAGGGTTGGGGATGTAGCTCAGTGGTAGAGCACTTGCCTAGCATGTGCAAGGCCCTGGGTTCAGTCTCTAGTACTTCAGAGAGGGAGCGGGAGAGGGAGAGGGCGGTGAAGAGGGGGAAGAGGAGAGGAACAAAGTGAGAAAAGAGATGGAAAGGGAAAAGAAGCTGGGCATGGTGGTGCACACCTGTAATCCCAGCACTTGGGAGGCGAGGATCGCTGAAGTTTGAGGCCCGCCTACAAGAGAGTTCAAGGCCAGCCTGAACTGCACAGTAAAACCCAGTTTCAAAAAAAAGACAAAAAGAAAAAAGGAGCAGGGGGGCCAGAGATACAGCTCAGCACAAGTGCCTGCCTGGCAAGTGCACGGTCCCGGGTTCAATTCCCAGTACCAAAAAAAAAAAGGAGCAGGGTAGCATGCTGTGTGTGCATGTGTGTGAAGGACTTGGACGTGTGCACAGAAAGGCAGAGAATCTTAGCAGTTGTCTCTCGGGAACAAGACTGGAATGAGGGTGGAGGTGATTATCTCTTTTCGTGTTACTCTCATTGTTGTTAGAATGTGTTTTTAACAACTGTGTGAATTACTTTCACTCATTTTTATTGTGCCGTACCACTGAGGTCTGCAAGAATAATAGAAGCAACTCCCTGGAACCCGCCACTTGGTCAGGAGTGAGTGTCGTGCTTCTGTTGGGTTTGTTACTCCTGGGCAGTAGGAAGTTGTCTGAACCTCCCCCAGCTCCTTTTGTAACTGGGTGCCAGGGAGATTGTTACTAGGGGGTACTGGGAAGGTACTGTAATGTTTTAGTTTTTAAAATGTCTGACAGTGTCCCTTCCAAGACAAGCCTGGACTCACACATTAGTATCTTTTGTCTTAAACTGTCAGCTTCTCATAGCACTCTTGACCTCAGGAGGCCTGTGCAGCTCAGGAAAGACTCCCCTGATTTTGGCACCCGCTGCCTTGAGCTTGGAAGGCTGGTGTATTTTGTGGCTTTGGGCTCTGGCTGGCACTTGGACAGTTTGATGGGCTAGCTTTGCAGCTGAAGGGGCAGCCCTGCGCTGTGGCCTCCCCAGGAGTGGGCTGTGCCGCTTTGCCGGTTCATGGGTTCATCGAGTACCTCTTAAGTGGCAGGCGGGAGGTGCAGGAGAGAAGGCTGTGTGCAGTGCAGATGGGGGGCTGCTCACGCCATGCTTCATCTCTCACTGAGCGGAGGCAATTCTGCAGGGCTGGGGATTGAACTCAGGGTATTGTGCATGGCAGGCAAGTGTTGGACCACAGAGCTGCACCCAAAGCCTGCAAGGAGACTTTCGTACGTGAGTAAACAAACCAGGTCACATGAAGAAATGATACTTTCTGTGGTTTGATGAAATAGAAATGTGATAGAGGTTGACCTAGGGCAGTGATGGCAAACGTTTTAGAGGCGAATGCCCAGAGTACAACCCCAGATCCACTTCTTTACCACCAAGTGACAATGCCGCAATTAAACCGGAATACTGAGGTTGTTGTGTAGAAAAACGACTCATACATTAACATCTTTTGTCTTAAACAAAAAATACCACACGTGCCTTAGGTTCACGACCACTGACCTAGGGTGACTGGGGGTGGCACAGCCTCAGAGACACGGGGTCTTTGGGGAGGCCTCATTGAACAGGGGACTGGGAGTTTCTCAGGCAGGAACTGGGGCAGTGCTGTTTGTTCTGTTAGTGACATCAGGCAGCAAACAGCCTCTCCGCGGCCCCAGCCTGACTCAGGCTCATCGTCAAGTTAGCAGTCGTTCAGTGGGCAGGAGCGGGGGTGGGGAGGGATTGTTAATGATTCTCGCAGTGACCTAGCTGTGCAGAGTGCCCCTCTGGAGAATGTTGTCAGGAAACCCTGAAGGTATTTATTAATCTGACTCAACCAACGGTTTCCAGAAAACAAATAGGGCATTTGGCCAAGACCAGCTCTGGGTGTGTGGTGTCCCTGGGCAACTGATTATGATTACATGGCTGTTGCTATGGGGAAGGGGTCGTTTCGGTCATTCTTTGGACCTTGGTGTCCGTCTCTGTTCTGAATCTCAGCTGTCCCTCTGCAGACCCCATCTGGAGGTAGAACAGTTGGAATGGGGGCCGGGGAACGTTTAGGAAATGCAGAAATGATGGTTGCAGCCCTTATCTGCACAGGTAAGGGAACGCTGTAGCTGGGCAGGTCCTTCAGGATCTTCTCTGTCTCTTATCCATATCAACCTAGAGTCCGAGCCCCCTGGAATTTTATTATTAGGGTCAGCAAAGACAATATTCTTTTTTTGTGTGTGTCTTTTTGAGATAGGGTCTCGCTATGCAGTTCAGGCTGACCTTAAGCTCGCTGTGTAGCCCAGGCTGGCCTTGAACCTCCGGCAATGATCCTCCTGCCTCAGCTTCCCGAGTGCTGGGATTACAGGTGTGCACCACCACACCTGGCTGACGGTATTCTTTTTTTTCCAATTCCTTTACCACCCTTGAGAAAAACTGAGGTAAAAATGATAGTGATAATGTTTCTCCCAAACTGAAATGATGGTCTGTGAGATTTAGATCACTTACTCTTTTTAGATTTCAGGTGTGCTTCTGGTAGTCATCCAACTAGCTTAGGAGTGCTCCAGTCCAAGGCTCACAGGGGTCAGGTGCCGTGGAAATGAGTGAATGGGCTGGGATTGGTGAGGACTGGGGTGAAGTGCCTGGGACACAACTTCTCTGGAGGGACAACTAATTTGCCCCATGGGGGGCCCAGCTTGAGTTGCCAGATCTGATTTTTTCTTACCCCCAGGAGAAGTTGAAGATTTTCTTTTACTCTTCTGACTGTTAAACTTTTAAATGTTGACAACCATTTTATGGGGGAAGGAAAGCAGTGCCCTTAGAGACAAGTGAACAAGTCACGCAGGTTTCCAGTCCAGTGTGTAATCTCTGGACTAGAGGGTCATAAAGTTCTAGGCCAGTGTGGCCTTGGCTGTAGGAGAGTGACTTGAGGTAATGGTGGCTCTTGTTGGCAGATCTGAGGGGCCGGTACATATCTACAGTGCAATATGTGAGCCCTCCTTGGCCTTTGCGGCTGGCACCAGCTGACCCATGGGCAGGAAGCAGCTGTCCTGCCAGTTCCTGTTCTGCCTCAGCTAGGTGGCCATCCCAGGGCATGGGATAGTCTTTTGCTAGTCTCCTAAAGCTCTGGGAGAGCAAGATTTGGAGCGGTTCCGGGAAGAACAAGGTGAAGGTGGCTCCTTAGAGTCAGCTGACTTGCTCCAGTAAGGCCTCTGAAGCAGGTGCAAGTCACTGGGTCAGCGTGGTACCTGTTCCCAGAGAGACAGTTTTGTTAAAAGACTTGGGGGGGGGGGACGATTTACACTAAAATAAAAAGGGGCACGTGGGCCAGAATGGAGAATTCACATGTATCCTTAAGACACAATATGGGCACATTAAGAAAATGTAGGACCTTGGGGCAGGGAAGCTGTTGTCACGTAGGGGTTTGGTGTGGTAAAAAGGGCCTCAGAGACTCCAGGTTGAGGGAAAGTGTATGGATATGGTCAGTAGTGACAGGAAGTAGTTGACTGTGGCCTTCCTTCCCCTGTTGACACGTGGTTTGATCATTCACAAAGAGGAAGCAGGATACCTTCTCGTCCTTCCTTCTTACAGGATGTGCCACTCTTCACGAGAAACCCAGGAGAATGGGCCTTCCCTTGGGGGTCCAAGCCAGAGGGAGGCCATGGAGGCTGATGGGCTCCCTTTCTAGTCAGGAAAGGGCTGCAACTCCTGTGTGCTTTATCCTACTCAGCCACAAGTTCTTTTTTGGCTGTAACAGCAGTTGCTAG